TCTACCATTCCTTTAAAATTGTTTGACAAACTTTTAAAGAAAAATTGTACCAATTGCCATTTAGGAAAGTCGTGATGTAGACACTTCCTAAACAAATCATTAAGGCGCTCCCATGCCTCATGAAACAATTCCCCTTCCCCTTGAGAAAACTCTCTAATTGAGGTTCTCATTGCATTGGTCTTTGAAACCGGATAATACTTTTTCAAAAATTATTGTTACATTTTTGCCCAAGAAGTTATTGAAAAAGGTCTTAGATTATTGAACCAATATTTTGCCTTATCTTTAAGGGTGAAAGGGAAGAGTTTTAATCTCAAAACCTCTTCTGGCATGTCCGTGTATTTCACGATGGAACACACCTCAAGAAACTCATCAAGATGCTTGTAAGGCTCTTCACTTGGAAGTCCATGATAATTGGGAAGCATTTGAATAGTTTACGGTTTAATTTTATAGTGACGTGCTCTAAATGGGGGCAATTGAATACATGTAGGTGCATTGTACTCATTTGGCACATAATGATCACGCAAAGCAAGAGGAGGATTCATAACCGGTGGTGCTACACGAGCACCTTGATTGCCTTGAATAATGGGAGGTTGTGGTGGAACAAAATTTGGCCGAGGCATTCTCAATGGAACATGGCCTTGTTGTTGTTATAGAATGAAGGGCCTTGGCATGCCTAATAGTACTTGAATATGGTCATGATGGTGCACATTAGGGTGGAGGATACCGCGTTGGTCAATGTGACCAAGGTCCTCCACATGGTCCTCTTTAATGTTCTCATTAATGTTCTCCATTGATGAAATGGACTGATGAGAGCTATCCCTTACTCTAGGATTGCGAACAATGGATTCAAGATTCAAATTAAGTGGAATAAAAGTAGGATTTAATGACCTACGACTATGCATGCACTATCAAAGTAAACAAACAAACAACAACAAGCATATAACAAGCACTTCTCCTTCTCAACAAATCAATCAACAAACCTCCACAAAGATTTACCCCATACTCCCATGCTTTGAACAATATGCAAGAAAAGTAATTTGCCTCCATGCTTTTGCTTAGCTTAGCTTGCCTCTTTGCTTTTGAATTTCCCTTTGCTTCACTTCCCTTGGCTCAATGTACCTAGCCAATCAAGAACAAACACAATAAGTAACCAAAATAAAATAAAAAATAAAGACAAGATCAAAAAAGTATTAATTCCTAATTGATTTCCAAAATACGATGGTGCTAAATCCCCGGCAACGGCGCCAAAACTTGGTGTCGTTCTAAGCACTAGTTGCAAAAAGAGTGTAGTATGGCCAAGTTTAAATTTAGAGATTGCCACTACCACTTCTAACTATAAATATAGCTAAGGTGAGTAGGGATCGTCCCAAGGGAAACAGAGTGTATTTAGCTTGGAAATCAACGTTGGATTAGTAAGTCGACTGATCAAAGATGTTTTGATTAGTTAATTAAACTACAATGTAAACTAAATGGATGCAAGGTAAAACAATTGAAGTAGAATGGAATATAGAGAATATATGAGAAGGATCTTAGGATTTAGAGGTCACCACTAAGCACCACCTTCCTAGACACTCAATGTTTAATGGATAAGGGGGATTATATGTTGCAATACAAATGTGTGTCATTAATTGATTCAACAAGAATGGATGACTAAATAAGTATACATTGTCTTGCCAAACTAGTGAATAGCACAACATATCGAATTAAGTCATTATTCCTTCTTTTAAGTCCACAATCAATGCACATCATTAAATCAGAGAAATATACTACTTGTATTCATAAGTATGGAACATCAAACAACAAGTATAGATTGTCCACCTACCTAAGAAAGTAAGGCAACTACACTACAACTAAGCTAGTGACATGAAGATTAAACTAATTAAACTAAGGGTATGGTACAATCCATCAAAAAATAAGTATAAACCATCAAATAAACATCAAGAGTATTCTATTTAAGCACCATGCGTTGACCATCACTAGATTCATGATATCAACACACATAGACATGCATCAATGTCACAAAACCTAGAGATAAACACATGAACATCTATTCTAGCATACATAGACATATGAATAGAATGAAATAATCAATTGGAAGTATTAAACTACACAAATCATTGTAGAAACAAGATTCATATATATATATATATATATATATATATATATATATATATATCAAATGTCAAGACAAGAAATACAACACAAATCTCCACTAATTACAAAACATCAAAGTCTAGGAGACATGCTTAGGGCTATCTTTAGCCCCAAGATAATGGTTTAGCCACTCATTGATGTAGTCATCCAACCCTCAAGGGCTATCTCCATGGTAAGAATGATCTTATTCTCTTTGATGGAAACCCTAGATGAGTGGAAAAACTCTCTCAAATGGTGTGTATCTTTCTCTAATCTCTAGACTCCTCCAACCTCTGTTGTATATGGTTCCTCTCTAAAGTCTCTATGTTGTAAAATGACCCAAAATCTTTATATAGGTAGCTCAAATGTCACACCCAATAGTCAGACTTATGCACTAGGAGCTCTAAATGATTGCATCACGAGCACACCTTTTAATTGGTTGGAACTTTGTTTTTCTCACACTTGAGGAGGTTCGATCGATCACAAGGATGGTTCGATCGATCGAATTATGGCAGCGCCTTTTTGGAATAATGACAAAGCCGAGATATTTTTGGGATATTTTGGGAAAAGGACAAAAGTAGTAAGTGCGGATAAAATCAAAAATGTCCCATCGATCGAAGGAATGTTAGATCGATCAAAGAGGGAAATTTCCTGAGAATAAGGATAAGATACTCAATCCATCTTGGCATGGTTGGAACGATCACTGTGAGATCATTCGAAGCTTGGTTTGATCGATTGAAGAATGCTGTTTTCTACCAATTTGCTTCCACTTTGCTCCTTTCTTCCACTAAGCTTGAGATTGCATCTTTTATGTTCTAATTCAGCTGAATTGACTTATTTTAGGGATAAGTGCCTGAAAAGGGAAATAACATGAAATTAGACTAAAACGGAAAAATAAGATAGAATAAGGTTCTAAAACGTTCAAGCTTAAGGGGTTTAAATGCGCACTTTTCAGCGCTTATCATAAACTTTATAGCTCATCACTTTGTATCCATTGCTTGGAATAGACCTTATAGCTCATCATTGAGGTTTGAATATTGATCATCTATACATCGCTCAATGAAAATATTAGTACTTAAATATCATTAATGGTTTGTAATCATCAAAACATTAGATTGACCTTTAAATAAAATATTTAGGGCCAACAACATTAATATGATTTAAATGATACTTTTAATAGTGTTATCACTTGAATGGTAGCTTTTTTATATATATATTATTCTTTATTGTAGGCCCAATATAATGGACCCATCATTTTAGACAACAATAGATTGCAACAGATTTTATTTTTTAATGTAAGGAAAGAAAAAAAAAAAAAAAGAGGTAAACTGGCTTTAGACAATAATAGATTACAGGAAACAACTTTTGTTTTTTGGTGTTTCCTATTTTTTGGGTTTTGTTGAAATGTTTAGACATATCTTTACACATGTTTGGTGTAAGGACTTGTTGAACTTGGTTGCTGGTTGGTGAATGTGGATATTATGTTGTTGTTGAAGGGTTATAATGGTTATGGTGTAATGGCAGTTTATGTTTTGATGAAGTGACAGTTGGTATATAACTATTTATGTTGCTGTTGAAGGGTTATAATGATTGTAGTGTAATGGTAGTTTATGTTTTTGATGATGTGACTTGGTATATGAAAATTTATGTTGTTATTTAAGGCTTATAATGGTTATGGTAGTTATAATGCTATGCTATTAGGTTTTTAGTGCATTGTTTTTACTTACAATCCAAATTTGTTTCATGTATGAATACACAATCTTATGATAGCTAAGAAATAGGTAATTCCATTACATTAATTTACCATTACATTGGTTTAAATAACCACACAATCAACATTGCAACAACACATGAAAAAAAAATCCAACATGAATACAACAATGTAACTTGTTCCACCATTCATAGTCCTCATAGTTGCTACAGGTTATGCGCTAACATAGTCATCATTGTGCAAAAGTTCCAACTCTGCATTTCTTATAGTAACTTGAGCTCTCAAAGTTGAAATGGTCTGCATTGCCATCTCTCTCTCCATATGGTTCTAATGAAGTTCTCTTTGAACTTCATTGTGTTGGGGATCAATCTGTCTAAAAAATCCATAACATCCTATAGGATAACTTCCACATTCATAAAATTTGGGCCTTAGATTTTCATGTGTTGTTGTTGTTCTCAAAGGCAATTTCAATTCATAATAGCAATGCAAATTATTGTATAATCTACCATGATGTGATACATCAATAGAGTTTCTTGATGTCATTGAGGGCTCCATATTCCTACAACAACAATAGAGAGAGAGAAAAAATAGATATATGATAATAGTATGCACATGTCACACACTATATAAAATACTAATATGCCATAGTATGCACATGTCACACACTATATAAACATAGCAATATATATATATATATATATAAATAGCAATACAAATATATATACTGACCTGAGAGAGCGAGAGCAAAGAGAGAGAGAGAGTAGAGGGAAGAAATGGGCTTGATTTGGTATGGGGAGAGGCCAAGGTTTATATATAACATTAAAGGGCATAGTGGTCATCATGGAGGGCAGTTTTGGCATTTCTATAAAGTAATCAATCACGTGCATAACTTGCTCACTAGAAAGAGTAATACGGCGTCTGCTGGGTGGCAATATGCTCATGAGTATTTTGCTCATTTGTGTAAACCTCATGGTATTTTGCACTTTTGCCTAATAGGTATTATGATGTATAGGAATTTTCTTTATTTATTTAATATTATTATTTTTGTTTTTATTAAAGCACTAGTCAAGCTCGAACAAGAAGTTGAAAACGGGGCAAGTGAATCGGGTAAGATTTGACCCGTTTCAAGCAGGGTATGGATTCACTAAGATTCGACAACGTATGAGACAGGAGTGTTAAACAATGTGACCGACCTCAAAAACAGCAAAATCCATCTCAGATTAGAGTGTAGAGCTTCTTCTCATACGATCTCCATCTCCGGTGAACTTGAAGGTAATACGTATACATATATGTATATGAACACGTCTATACTATGTATAATTCTTGTTTTATCTGCCTTTGTTTCATGTCTTCCTCCAATCTCTATTAATATATACGGGACGATTGGGGCTTGTTTGTGTTAGAAAATTGGCGTATTGGAAAGGATTTTAGGTTTTTATTTTGGAGATTTATTCTAATTCATAAATCTGTGATCACCGCTACTTCTAATTACTTGTTTATATATATATATATGTATATATATATGTATTGATATATATGTGTGTGTATGTGTGTTCGCATATAAACATGTATACATCAATTACGTGTTATATCGTTTCTCCCTCTGCAACTTCTAGTTCCAGTGACAACCATTAGTCTATGCAAATCCATGGAACTCCCTTTTATTTTTTGGTAAACCAAAACCAGGAAACTCTCAACACTGCTTTCTTGAATTTCTCTCCCTTCTGGATAAAGCCCTAAAATCTGACCTATTTTTCTCTTGCGTGAAGAATCTCGTCACCAGATTCTTCTTGCCGGATGCCGGTATTCACAGCTTAGTGAATTAGTATTCGTTTGGAACACTTTAGGGATTAGTTTTGTGCTATATAGTTCTTTATAGGTTCAATATCTTTTAGAATAGGTTATTTTATGAACACTTTAAAGTTCCCCTCATAATCCATTGCATTTGGGAATTTGAATTGAACATTTGACTCATCATCGATGGTGTTCTCTTATTCCCCAAGGGGTTGGCCTAGTTGGCCCTTGTAATCCATTGCATTTGGGAATTTGAATTGAACATTTGGCTCATCATCGATGGTATTCTTTCATTCCCCAAGGGGTTGGCCTAGTTGGAAAAGTCTTGGGCCCTGGTGCCTCATGAAGCATTAGGTCTCAGGATCTATTCTTGTTAGGAAAAAAAAATTCTCTTATTGATTTAACTCTGATTGTTTGGTTCTGTGAATTAGTTACCATTTTTTGTAGTTAAGTGTTTTTATGAAAAATTCAATACAGGATGATGGCTTTTAATGAATTCACTTAACATTAATTTTTAGTCTTCATTACCATCAGATTTTTGCGTAAATTGCACAAGCAGAAGTTATGGCAGGTGGTGATTCAAGTGCATCTGAGAAGAAATCAAGTGAGGCCTCGGATGATGTACCGGCCTTCAATGCTGAGAATATGATAAACAACATGAAAATTGTCAATTACAGGTGCGTTTTTATTCCTCATTGGAGTTGGCCACTGTTCAGGCCAAACAATATCAAATGAATGAAGAAACTAAGCAGTGTTGCTAGCATTCTGTAAACAGATTAAAAAATTATTTTTATATTTAACACATTCAAATTGATTGATGTCATCTAGAGTCTAGATAACTCGCTATAAGCATTTCTTGATAGATATCTTTTAAAGGTCCTTTTAAGAATTTATAAATGTACATAATTTAATCCAGCTTCCCGTTTACTAGTATTTTTTGTGATATTCTTTTAGTCTTGTTTTATCAATGTGCTTGAATTGCTCTGCACTGTATTGTATACATTTTTTTGCATGCAATAATTTGATTACCAAATTTTATTAATTGCTATTGTTATGCAGGTAGTTTTTTTTTTTTTTTTTTTTTTTTTTTTTTTTTAGGCAAGCATGGTTATTATTATTATATTAAGATATGAGCATCCACTATGAGGCTCTCATTTGCAGTATCACAACAGTGGATGTATTATGGTATAACATGACGTGCCCACTTTTTGTCGAATTCTTGCCTTTCTACAGGCTAATGTGGTCTTGGCTGTTTGACAAGGCTGCTTCCTAGCAATATTTGTTGTGATAATGTCATGTATCTAATGACTGGATGAATATAGAGGTTTTCTGGTGTATGTACCCATTGCCCAATATTTATACTGCATGTTGATTGTACATGCTGCGCCAATGTATGTGTGATAATTTTGTATGCTAGATTAGTTGCTTCAAGATGTGGCAGATGAAAGTTAAATTATTAAAGATTGCAATTTGAATCTCCATGAGATGAGATTATTGCTACTTAACACGATTGGATATGGCTCATGTGGATTAAATTTCTATTAGAGATATGATTAAGGAACCTACATGGTAGTCTCTGAAGGATGAGGACCATAACCCTAGGCTCTGATAGAGAATTAGTGCATGGTTTGTGATGTAGACCTAGAGGGGGGTGAATTATTGTCGGTTGTTTTAACTATTTTAATCAAATTGCCAATAATCTAAAACTTAAGTTAGAATGATATGACAAAAACCTATAAATCCGTCATGCCTTGAACATCCCAATCATAAATATATGTAGACAACAGAAATCATGCACCAAGATTTTTACATTGTAAACCCCAAAGGAAAATCAAAGGGGATCTGGTCTAGTCAAAAACTCAGATCGAATCCATTATACGAAACAGATGTACGTCTAGGTTAACAGTTGAAAGCCGTTAAAACTCCTAATTACCTCATGACATAGACTATTCACCCAACTCACTCAAGTTTTCAGGGCCAGGCACAAAATCCACTCTGTCAACAGATTATGCTCCTCACACAATCTGCTTCTTCAATAGCACTTTGTTCTCCAGACTAGTTGTCCACCAAATCTCTGAAGGTTGAGTATTTAGTGTTTAACTTCAATTAAGCGCATCAGCAATATGTTGTCAATTCTGGTCCTAATCCAGACCAAGTTGCTAGAATGATTGTTTGAGATGTCTGTAATACTATGGGTTTTAAGCTTGCTGATATTCATACTTTCTCATCTAGCTGATACGGCATCTAAAGTGAATAGCTGCTGGATTAATCAGTTGTATAGGTGGTGGTTGATTTGGGATGCTGTATATGGGAGTCTTAGTATGGATTCCGTTGAGAACTTAGATTATGTTTGCTTCTTCAATGACGGCTTACTTAATGCTTGTTCCAGCCAAAGATATTGGTTACTAAAAAGTCGCTATTTGTTGTCTGGATGCTCTGTATTGTGGCCTACTCCAACAGTTGGTGGCCTTCTTTCTGGTTGACAAATTTTGTTCCTTCTAGGCTCTGTTCTTATAGGTTTGGTGTATCTTGGTTTTTGCTTTTTCTTTTTGCTGGTTTCTTTCTTATTAGTAAAAGTTTACCTAGGAAAAAATATATATATATATATATACATATATGTTGTCAACACATATATTACTCATCAATCTTTATGTAGGATAAGAAACTAAATTATATGCACTCAAAATAGCCTCACAGGATATTGCTCTCTATTGTATTTTCTGTGTAGGTTTTCTGAAGTAGTTGAGGATTTATAGAGAAAATAAAGCAGTAGAAGGATTGGGATTGTAGAGTTTAAAATAAAAAAGGAAATTGCTTTTCTGGATAGGTTGATCGAAGTTCCCATGTCAATTGATCCAAGTGTCCAATAGCCCTCAATTGATTTGTCAATCAGTCTAAATGCCCTGTCCAATTTATATGTAGATCTTTTTTTTTGTTGGTAAGTGATATATATGTGAAAATTTTGAAATGCAGTAGTTTTCAAAACTCTTAATGCATATAAAAAAGGATTTAAGAAAATATAATTTGTGAAGCCCCAATTGATAAATGCATGAATTATAATTTGGTGATTGCATATATTCATGTCAAATTATTTTTGTATCCTTGGATTTGCATATTACAGTTCTGGCCTTGGTTGTATCTACAGTTCCAACTCTGCTCTACAATAGGCAAGCTAACTTGAATCCAACTTTCAAAAATCTAACTAAAAACAAAAAATAAAGTACAGACCCTTGTTTTGATCACAAAAATTTTCAACTTCAGTTATATTGACCTAATAGCCTCTAGAACATTTTATTGCATGCTAGTTTTGACTGTTTTGTTTTTAGTGTCTTACTAGTCATGCTGCCAGTTCCAAGCCAAGCCAAAAAGTGGAGGGTTCTAGTGCCATAAAATATTTAAAAAGATCTTTATGAACATGAATCCTTGTTTAGGGCAATCTTGTGATGGGGCATATTTCTCCCTTTCTTTTTCTTGGGAGAAGGAAAAAAAAAAAAAAAAAAGAAGTACAGAGATTATGGATTAATACATTCATCATCATCCTTGCCTTTATCTAATACGAACACAGTCAACCACATGGATTCTCTTCTTCCACTCTTTTCTATCACAGGCCATATCTTCTAATAGATTTGGTTTTTTTAAATCATTTCCTATCACTTCATTCCATGTTAGTTTTGGTGTATCTCTTTGTCTCTTACCCTCTATGCAAATCAACCGTCCTCTCCTCACACGTGCATCTATAGGTCGGCGTTGAATATGCTCATACCATCTATAAGTCTGCTCTCTTATTTTCTCACCAATAGGTGTGGCGCCTAATTTCTCCTTAATCCTTTGATTAGTAATCTTATCTTTCCTAGTTATTCCTAACACCCATCTCTACGTTCGCATTTCCACCACAATATGGATTAATTCTTATCTTCCTGCCCTTTAGGATTGCTACGGTTATGCATGCCTTGATTTTTGACTGCTATCTACTTGTTTGCGGGAGATTGACTTGGGACATGCTCTTTTTGAGTCACTTTCAGGATTCGGAGTTGGAGGAGGCCATTGGGTTCTTGGAGCTTTTGTATCGTCAAGAGGTGGCGGGTGTTGTTCCTGATCATAGGGTGTGGATTCCCTCTTCCCAGGGTCGATTTGATGTCCGGTTTCTTTATACATGCCTTTCAAATGTTCCAAGGGCTCTTTTCATGTGGAAAGCAGTTTGGAGATCGAAGGCCCCTCTTAAGGTGGCTTTTTTTGTGTGGACAGTGTTGGGTAGCATGTTGACTTTGGGTTATCTGAGGAGGAGGAGACAAGTTGTCGTCAATTGGTGTTGCATGTGCAAAAGAGATGAGGAGACGGTGTATCATCTACTCCTGCATTGCCCTGTGTCTCGGGATAGTTGGGGGTTTACTTTTAGGGTTGTTTGGGATTCATTAGGTCATGCCAAGGTCCCTAGAGCTTTGGTGGAGGCTTGGAGAGGGTGTACATTGGGGGCCCAAGCTCGGGATTATTGGTGGGTTGCGTCCTTATGCATCTGGTGGTGCTTATGGTTAGAGAGGAATAGGAGATTTGAAGGAAAGGAGACTCCTATTGGGACTCTTAAGTTCTCTATTTTCAGCGCCATAGTTGTTAAAGGTTCAAGGCGTACAAAAGCGCAAATGCCTCCTGGAGCCTGAGGCGCAAGGTGAGGTGCGCGCCCGACTGAAGTAAAGCGCACGTTCAAAAAAAAAAAAAAACAAAACCCACCTAATAAAGTATCAAAGATGCAATAGTATATATAAAGATGCAAAAGCCAACTAAATGAATTACTTAAGTTCAATATTCAACATAAAGATGTCAAAGCCAACTAAATCAAATACTTAAGTTCAACAGTGAATAATCAAACATATTAACATAAAGATGCAAAAGTCAACTAAAGAGAATTATGAAATAAAACCAAAACAAACATAGACATCATTTCTTCCTAAGAAGACGACACCAACTAATCTAAATATCATCCTCGTCATCAATAAGCATAACATCATTTTGATCGTCACTTAATGATTCATAATTCTCAGGATCCTCTTCCATCTCATCTGAATCTGCCATACAGAGCTTCAAAGCAATATTAACATTTCAATTTAAAAAGGCAAAAAGCAGAATATTATTGCATGCAAAAAACACATGGATTCAGTGTTAAGTTTGATGTTAATTTGACTTCAATTTGGTGTTACAATTTTGAGATTGTCTTCTACAATTTAGAGTTCACTTAACTAATTATTTCATTTTAACAAAATTAGATAAAAATGCATTTCCTCAAACAGTCAAACCAATAACATTTTAAGAATGGAACAAATACAGGCATAGAATTTGGTTGCATGATTTCATGAGATCCGAAAAAATTTGATAATGTTTTTTTATATTTTTATTTTATTATTATTATTATTATTATTATTATTTTTTCAGGTGTTATTTGATAGACTGATAGTAGTAATTTAATTAAAGAGACAACAGAATTTTTTTAAAATATAACAGAATTTTTTTAAAATATATATTTTAGGTCTATCTCTGAGACTTATTAGTCAATGTATGACATATGATGTTGTTGCTGGTGGTTAATTGTTAGGATCATTAGATCTATTCCATAATCCATTTGTGGAAACTTGATTATTAAAAAAGTATTTTCAGACATCATTATTGTGTAGAATGTGATCACAATCGTAAAGGACTGAATTGCCAAATTAATTGTGCTTAAATAATTCCTAACATTTAATTTCACCCCAATTCACTTTTAAAGGTTTAGTTGCTGGGAAGACGAAGGGAAATTCAGCTACCATGTAAAGTGTCGTGGAATTTAAAATCATTGCAGGGATGAATGGTAAAAAAAAATAAAATAAAAATACCAACTGTTATTTTAAGATTAAAATAAAATAGCACATTAGCAACAATGCAACATAATAAATCTATCACAGTGACTCCAGAGTCTCCAGACTCGAGAAAAAAATAAATAAATAAAAATAAATAAATAAATAAATAATAAAAATAATAAAAATAAAAATAAAAATAAAAATAAAAAAAAATCTGCCCAACTCAACTCAGCGGAGAGAAGAACAGAGGAAAAAAAAAAAAAAACGCAGAAGAGAAGGAGGAGAGAAGAAGAAGAGAGAGAAAGAGAAGTTGGAGAACTTACCGGCAAAGTCGCCGACGCAGATCCGGCAGATCTGAGGCAGATCCGAGAGCCAAGTCGCTGGCTCGCTGCCTGTCTTCTTTGCTTTACTTCTGGGTCCTCTGTTGTCCAAGTCTTTGCTTCACTTTTTTGCTTTACTTTTTGCTTTACTTTGACCTTTTTAACTAATAAAATAATAATATAATACAAACAATAATAATATAACAAATAAATGAATAAACAAACAAAATCAATGCAACAAAATAATTTAAAATTGAGCAATTCCTACAGGCGCACCTTTATAGCGCCTGTAGCCTGGCGCCTGTGGAGTAAAGGCGCACGCCTTCTCTAACCCATGTGACTTAAGACAATACAAGCGATGGGATGGCGCCTGGAGGCGCCTTGCGCCTCAGGCGCGCGCCTTCGGCACCTTTGACAACTATGTTTAGCGCTCTTTTTTGTTGGGTTCTAGGGAGAAATTGTAAATCTGTGGAGGAAATTGTTGATATTTTGGGCTCTTTGAGTGTTTAGAGGCCCCATTTCGCCTTGTGTTTCTTTTGTGGGATGCTTCCCCCTTTTGGGCTCTTTAATGCAATCTTACTTATCAAAAAAAGAAAAAGAAAAAAGGATATGAACCTGCGTTCAACTGAATGGGGAAAAATGATTTGCCTAGCTGGCTCCAAGTAGTTGAGGATTTACTTTTTGTTGATTCGTTCCGTTTGATTTGTCTCTACATTACATGTTTTATTGTGTAAGTTGATTTCATTGTCATCTTATTAGTCCTTGTTTCCTGTTTTCAGCTAAAATCTGAGGTTTGCTTGTTTGTGCAGCCGAACATTTATGTCTATCATTGGTGGAGTCATTGCTGGAATTTTGGGATTTACTGGCTTGAATGGATTTATCTTCTATTTTCTTGCCATGGCAATTACTTCAGTAGGACTTGCAGCCAAGGCTGGGTTTTCCACTCATTCATACTTCGATTGCTGGAACCGCATTATACTTGATGGCTTTTTGGGCGGGCTTATGGTACACTTCTCTATTATTTATCAATTTTATTTGTTTCAAGTTATTTCTTGTTAGGGTTTTTGATCTACATTCACTCAAATGTTACCGCATGTGTAGCATGCTGATTTGTTCCAAGTGGTCAATTTTTATTAATTTATTTTTTTTGGCCTGAATTTTTTCATCTTCCTTAACATTATTGTCACTGGCATTTTAAAAGAAGGTTGTGCTGCTTGTTCCCTAAGAAAAGGCTATTCAATGACATTTCTTTCCTCCTCTTATTATTATCATCATATATTCATGAACTATGGGCCAATCTATATAATCATGGCACTAAACAAAAAATAAAAGAACCTTATGTTGTGGTTGTAAGAAGCTTCAGTATTTGCAAGTTGGAACCAAGAAAAGAATTACTATGATTCTTTGCAGAAAATGTCTCTCCAGTCCTGTCAAAATACATATACTTTGCAGGCTCAAATAAGGAAAGGGCTCTGGTTGTATGTAAATTTATCATCCTGGCAATCACATAGACTCATTAGTTGTGCCTGTTAAAGACTGGTATTCCAAAGATGCTAAAACAAGTTTAAGTGAAATATTTTCTAAAGTGTTTTTCTACACAAGAAAAAGGTTCTTCATAGTTACAAATTTGATAATACACCAGGATATGTTGCCCTTTCCCCCCTCATATCTCCACTTGCTTTAAATAGATTACTCCTATAAATGAATGTATCATGCTCGTATGCAATCTGACCTAATTTAACTTGGGTTGATAATGCACCAGTGCAATTTTAGAGACAATTCTATTTTCCAACCCAAGGCAGTGATGTTTGAGGCTATGTTACATGGACTTTTCAAAAGTAGGTGAAGTACCCGTCACACAATACTCAGACATGGGTATGGGATCTGTGTTTGACACTTTTGGATTGACATACACCTAAAAACCACATCAAGTAATTCAATTTATTGTATTTTTGCTTCAGAATGAATGAAATGCTTATACTAGACACCATGTTACATAAAGACTTTATTTTACTATAAGAAATAAAATAAAATAATTAGATAATATGAATATTTAGCAATATCCATGTGTCCTATTTGGGGACTTCCCGTACCTGACACATGGATGCATACCCCGTACCTGACACAGGTACCCGATTTCAGGTAGCATAGGTTCTGAGAAATGAGAAATATTTTGGAAGATGATTAAAATGCTTTCAATTTATTGACAACCTTATGGTTTGGATAGAGGAGGGGAAATGTGTAAGAAAGGAGATCTGATAGATTGTGCTCAGATGATAGCCCAAGCAGTATGAATTACCAAAAGATGACTAAGAGCTTAGAGACTAGTGCATCAGCCCAAGGTGTCCAGGAGCACTGGTAAGTTCAAGCTCTATTCTTAGCCCATTGAATGGGCTGCCTAACCTTTCATAGGACCCCCAGGAATGTAGAGGACTACTGGGTTACAATCGCATAACCAGTTACACTACCAGTGGACTGTCAAGCGACAGGACCTGCATCATTCAGCCTCCAGGTTTGGGCCAGTGAAGCCTATTCTTCTTTAAAATCATGTTAGTATCTGCTTTTGCCATGTGTCATATTTGTGATGTCAGCTTTCTCCTTGTTTGCTGGTCTGGTCTGATTGCAAATGGTATTTTAGAGGTTGGACCACCTCAATTTGCCTCAAAACACTAGCAGCGATCTAACAGCTTCAGAAATCTCTAAGTCATCCTCACGATCCCGGAGCCCTGTCTCCAACTTGGGCCTGGTTATGGCATCAAGGTGGCTTAGGAGGGTTTGGACAGGCTTGCGGGGACTATTTAAGGTTTTATACAACAAAATAATTAGAATGCCCATAAAGTGCATTTTCAACACTGCTAAACGGTCTGGTACTTGCTCATATCCTTACTCGAGAGGCCAGAGGCGAGCGTAGTGTCTGCATTGGAAAAAGAGTGTTGGTTGTGTGTGCGTGGGTAGGTGGGTGGGTGGGTGCAACTTCTCTCAGTACAACGTGGATCCCTAAATAATGCCAATATGTGTCCGAGTCCCAATAATAGTTCCCATTCTGAACAAGTGGGAAGTACTTTCTTTTGTATTGGGCCAACCTTTAGACCGAGTGCATGCATCCTAACTTTTTATTTTCCCATCCTTGAATGGAATCAGTCTTAAAAGAGCAAAATGAAAATCGTGCTTCCCAATTTATCCAAAAAATTGTCCAAAAAAGACTAGCATTCTGACTATTTTATGCAAATTCGTACTTCCTAATAAATCACTATTCCTGGTTGGAAATTACAATTTTACCTAAATCTGGCCCACTTTGGGATCCAAGCACCATAATATATAGATTCAGAGGGTTGAAAGGGCCTCTAGTAAAGTTAGTCTAGGAGAAATGGGGTGCCTGCCAAAGTTGTTTTTACAATGACACATATCTTTGCCACCAGCATTGATTCACTACTATGTTCCATTTTCCTTCAATATGTTTACCGACTGACATTCTCTTATTCTTTTTGCAGTCATTCGTGCTGTTCTGGACGTATCCTTATTTTTTCTTTTCCCGGTGAATTCTATACATTATTTATATTGTTTTTCCGTATCTTGTGTACACAAAGAACATGGAAAAATTATCTACTCCTGGACCAGTGATCTTCCTGTGGTGGAACTCCATAACATGTGCTTCCATCAAAATAAGTCAATTTTGTGTGGTTTGAGTTTCACCGACCGCACCAAGGTGCATCAAGAGCAAACAATTATTCCTCAAACTGTGGTTTTTAAATGTTTAGTGGTATTAGAAAGTTCTAAATTCTTCTTTTTACCGATTTTATGATTTAGCAACTTTCCTTGACATATGAAAGATTTGCTTATGACATTGTGCATATATTCTGAGGAGACGCCTGCTACCTGCTGCCGGGAAGGATGACGGCTGCTGCTGCTGCTGCTGCTTGTGGTAAATTTGGTAAACCTAATATCTGGGCTGGTAAAAGCCCATGATCCAGACACTTCCAGTTTTTGGTAGTTCGAATTCCATGTTAAAACAATTGGGGTGCTGAATTTTTGTCCACCTGAAATTTTTTTTTAGTCTTAAAGTGATTGTTATCTTTGTATCATCGTGCAAATTCATTCCAGCAATTTGAATTTCTTTGGCAATGAATATTGGACTGATTGGCTCTAGTAATATCTCCTCGTCTTTGCCTATGGGAGGTTAAGGGTTCAAGTACCCATTGGGGGGATAGTTCTTACTTTTTGGGTCGACGATGGTGGTGTGGTGTCAGGCCTCTTAGAGCACCCCATGATCCACCATTGGGCACATGTAATTATCCCGTCTCACATGCATTGGGCAATTACCGGGAAATTCCCTGGGGGTGGCCCTAGAGAAATTCAAACCCTCGAATTTGAGGGTATAAACGTATAAAGTGGGGAGGGTATGCCCTCTTATATATGTATGCATATGTTGGACCCTGAGTCTTAAACGATGCCCGATGTTGAATTTATAATTTCTAATATGTTTTCATAGCTGTTATTGTTTTTATTCAAATTCTGTTCAACATTTTCAAATGTTTGGTGGTCTATATGTATTACAGATTTTTTTACAAAATGGGATGTAGTTTCAAAACCTAAAAATGACTTTTCCAATGACTTTTTTGAATTACTATCAAATTCATGTCCAAACAAATCTTGTGCATAAACTATAAACTTCTGTAAACAAGTATATGCACATACATGAAATTGATGTATATATGCACCTATACATGTAATATATATTATGAATACACTATTTTTTTCATATATATTTCAACTTGCATGTAATGTAATTTTTTTTAGTTAAGTACTTGCATGTAATGTTTATCTATGTATATAAACATAAAAAAGCATATACATGAACTTAATGCACGTATACACCTATACATGGATGAATGCAAAATTATATGCATGTAGTTATAAAATGTATATCCATCACATTCACGTGTACTTTTTCAACGCCTAATATAAAATGCATTACTTACAAGTTCAGGTTGGACTAACATTGGTTGCTGAGTTAATCAGGCCAGATTCGGGTTACTAATATTTCAATAAGAATATTATTTTGCAAAATTGTGCCCCAAGTTTTACTATATCACCAAGTAATTACTATTAGGCTATCAGGTACGGAATTGGAACTTTAGAATTAGAGAAAAGTAACTCATAAAATTGAACTAAAGTTTTTTCTTCCAATTTCATCAATTTCAAGGATTTATTTCCATGTCGCCAAACACAGCCTTAAACCTGTAGTAGAATATTTCAAAAAACATGATAGTAACTCAATTAGAGGTTGAATAATTTGATCACTACAGTGGTTCAAAATTAATGAAATATAAAAAATTCCAAAGATCATGATAGTACCTCAATTAGAGGTTGAATCGTTTTAATCACTACAGTGGTACAAAATTAATGACAACACATGGTACAAAATTAATGACAACACATGGTACAAACCTCACAATCAGAGGTTAAAAGTTCATCACGTTGGAAACTAAGTTTATATTAAGCATACTTTGGGATAAAACTAAAGTGAGTTTCGTTAAGCATTTGTTATTGAGTCCATAGTTGAACGCATTCTTCTCCAGAGATATATCTATTTTTTAAAAATCCGTTTAAGGGTAAACTTAAAAGGAAGCAAAATGATTGTATAAGGCTTGTCTTGTATTGAGTCCATAATTAAACGTGTTCCTCTCCGAAAAGTAAATGAACATGATATATTTATTTTCTCAAATCCGTTTATGGATAAACTAAAAAGGAAATAAAATGGTTGTATAAGGCTTGTCCTCGAAATTTCAAATATCACTATCCAGTAATGGATTTTAGTCCAAATTTTTTTTATTAGAGATTAGGCCTAACATGTGTTTGGACTACTACCCAAAAATCTTCAGAATTAAAGTGTATTTCGGATTTGACTTGGGTTAAGCTCAGAATTGAGAAGTCCCCAATGCCTATTCAGGACCCAAATCAGGGTGAGCAGGGTTGGTTCAACCCAGCTTGAAAAGGCACCATGGGTCTATAAATATCTCACTCCCTTTTAAGGCAGGGCTGGGCGAGGCGGGGTGGGGATCTCATTCCCCATCCCCATCCACGCTGAATTTTTCAACCCCCATCCTTGCTTCCATCCCCGCTTAAAATTTCACCACCGCCCCCATACCCACCCCCGCCCCAGCCCCCACCCCCGCCCCCGCCCCCGACCTCTTATCCCCATCCCTGCCCCATCCCCGGCCCCAGCCCCAGCTCCGGCCCTAATTAACATATATTATTTATATAAAAAAAATACAATTTTTCTTATTTTCATATATATAATAAATCTAATTTAGTAATAAATTATTAAATGTAAGGGTATATTAATAATTTAATACTTAATCGGGATGGGATAGGGTGGGTTTACCCCATCCCCGCTCCTGCTCCAGCCCCCGCCGGGTTTTCAAAATTTACCCTCATCCCCATCCCCATTTACATAAAAGGGTCCCTATCCCCGCTATAAACGGGGCGGGGCGGGGACCCTGCGGGGATGGGGAATTTGCTATCCCTACTCCCTCTTTCCCACTCTCTACTTTATTCAGATGGAAGGTTCTTTTATTTAATACGAGTAATATTTACTCCAATTACTTTACACTAAATGTAAAGGATGGCACAATGTAGTGCGCTTGTACTATCGAGCTGGCATTGCCATCAGCAAACTGCAAACAAAAAATAAAAGGATAACAAGTGATACCCTTTCCCAACTTCATACTCTCCGGTGTATAGAAATATTCATACTTGCATCCATTGATATTTTCACCACTTTCTTTAGTGTAAATTAAAAATTTAGTGTAAATTAAAAAATTCAAAGAATAAATTATGTTGGTGTGTTAATTATCATGTCAAAATAATGAAATCAATCGATATACATATACATAAATTTTTTTTCTTTTCTTATTTATTCACTTTTAGATAAAAAAAATAATAAAAATGTAATTTTCATATATTCTATGGTAAGAATTTTTGAACCTATAAAAAGTGAAATTTTATGAATAATATAAAGTTCTACATCAAACTGACATAAACAGTGACTTTTATATTATTTGAAACGTTTTTTCAGTTATATTATGAATTTTTAAATAAACCTTATTAAAAATTAGAAGGCATAATATAATAAGATGTGTGATATGATGAAATTCTAAATTTATATATTGTGAATAAAAAATTGTCTTCCCATCTTTCTTCCATTTATTTTCTCTATTGTTTACAATTTTTTCATCCCTCATAATCTTTTTTTACCTCCCCTTTCTTACCCTCAAAACAAAACTAGCATTAGAGAGATACGGGCGAATAATGGTATGGTGGTCGCATGGTTAGTGTCCTTGAATTGAATGGAATATGTGATTATAGGTGTGTGTGGGACGCTTTCGAACTGCCCACTGCAAGTGACAACTGGGAAAAGCTGTAGCCGTCAACGTGTGGAACAACCATTGGTAAGGATCCTTTTCCCCTCACCAAAACAAAAATATATTTCTAGGGCAAATCATTTCAGCCTCCCAAATCGCCTCCATCTCTATTCTCGTTCTCAACTCTGAACTTGCCCCTTCTCTCTTTCTCTGCTATTGCAACCTACAAAATCTACAAGAATCAGAAGTTCAAAACCCATATATTTCAGTTTATCTATCTATCTGCAATAATCAAAACCTATTACCTATATCAAAACCCATATCTTTCAGTTCCCCGTTGTTCCAGTTCGGGTTCGCCGTTCGCAAACTTCAGCCGCTGGCCCACTGTCTCTCAACTCTCAAGCTTGCCCCCCCTTCTCTCTCTGCAACTGCAAACTTGTATGTATGGGTTTTGTTTTTATTTTTATTTTTCTAAATCAACTAATCAAGGTCTGTGATTCTTGTTTTGCAGACTAAATCCTATTTCGTGAAATTTTTTATGATCTTTTTAAAATAATTTTTTTTTTTTACAATATAAAGTAACAAAATTTGTGTTGCATTTTGAGATGACCGTAATCTACATTTTATTTCAGCAAGACAATTATTTATTTATTTATTTCTATAACTTCTATTTCTGGTTTTTTTTTTTTTTTTTTTTGAGTGAATTCCATAATGTTGGAAGGGGCTTGCCATGAACTACTTCACGCCCTGCTTCCACTAGGAGATTCTCAAATAGGATTAGTAAATTGGTCAAAAGAATAGATAGGGTACGGAGTGGTGACTTGTTCAGAAATAAATTGGTAATTTTTTTTATTAATTACCCAAATAGGATTTTCTATGCCTTAATCAGTCAATTGTCTTAAGAAACATTGTTAGTTAACTAAAATTGAATTAAACAACAGTTGATTTTGGTTGATATATTTTGATTTAGCCCACAACATTGAGAAATCTTGGATGTTTTGTTTCACATAGAAATAAATCTTGGATGTTTTGTTTCACATAGAAATACAATGTGTAATCCACGAAGGATATATTCAATCTTTCTGCCATATTTTTATTTTCAAATTTTGGTTTTTGATTTTCTTTTCTTATTAGAATGCAGAATATCAGGATATTGATTTGTTAATTTTGAAGATTATTCTTAAATTGATGCATTGTACTTTGTTATTGGATTAATTTAATATAAGAGCTGAGTATAATATGTGCTAATCACACCTCTTTCTATGGATAGGTGTCCAACATTTTGATTGAAAGCATAATTGGGTTGTGTTGATACATGATATAGATAGTACTTAGATGGTGGTGTTTTAATTGTTATGAGTGAGATTGTGAAACATCTTTCTCATAACTTGAGTGTTTTCTTATTATTAGGGTTAGCATTGGGCCTTAACATTTAGCAAAAATAAGGTTCAAGAAACATGCCTCCTCAGTCATCGGGTAACAAACTCTTATTTTTTTCTAAAATTTTAATTGGCATTTTTAGCTATTGGTTACGTTTATTTATTCATGTTTTACATACTGATTTTTTGTTTTTGGTTTTGTTTCTACATACATATATATAATATTGTTATGATTTGATGCTTGAACAATTTATTAATGGGAATTAAAGACTTGGAAGTTAGTTTTCAATTTCAGAATATATGTTTTACAAGTTTGTTAATGCTTTTAAAACTTTTCCTCTTTTGTCTAATAATATAGGTTTCTTTTCTGAAAGAAGAGAGTTGATAGGAATGGGTGGAGTGG